TGCTTATTCTCTCCTCCACTGTATCCAGCCACTGATGAGCTCATCAAAGACACTTTCTTTTCATTATAATATATTTGATTTCTAGTATTTCCATTTGATTCTTTCTTGGAGTTGCCATCTCTCTGCTTACATCAGCCATCTTGTCTGCTTTTTTTTTAATTATTGCCTTTTAACATCTCAATCACAGTGATTTTAAATTCTCTGATAATTCCAATCCCTGGGTCATATGTTCTATGTGGTATGTAGACTTGCTTAAGAGAAAATACTGTTTTCATTTTCTTTTCTGTTCTGCAGTATGCCTTATAATTTTCTGTTGAAAATCAGATATGATGTATTGGGTAATAGGAACAGAGATAAATAGGCTTTTAGTGTGAATTTTTATTTTAAATTGCTTAGGGATTTGACTATATCTATATTTGCTGTAGCTGAAAGTGCCAGAGCCTTCACATCTCTCCATTGTCATTGGTTTGTCTCATCTATTGATTTTAGATTTCCCTAAGTACTTCTCAGAGAGAACCTACATGTTGTAGCTGTAACCCACTGATATTATATTGGAGTATTAGTAGTGTGGTGGTGAGATGTGGCAGAGGATGAGTGTTCTGTGATCTTTTGATTTAATTTTAGTCTTTTAGTGGGCCTGTGTCTTTGAGAAATTTCTCCTTCCTGCTTTTCCCCCACTCTTGTATTCCTATTATTTGGATATTTATTTTTCAGTTTGAGTATATAAATTATGATCTTTTTATCATTCTCTTTTGTCATTTTGGTCTTCTTTCTGGGATACTTCTCCAACTTTGTATTTCAAATCTTATTTGAGTTTGTGTGTTTGTTTTACCATATTTTAAATTTTTTTTAATTTTTTAAAATAAATTTTATTTTTACATTCCCCATACAATTGCAACCCCCTTATTTTGACCCCAATCCCTCCCCTTCCTGCCCCCCACTCCCCATAGAGTGTCTCTGGTTCATACCATATTTTAAATTTTAATGGACTTTACTTTTGTCCATCTTTATATTCCTTTTGTTCTTACTTCATGGATGTCTCTACGAAAATATTACTTACAATTTTCACTGAAGATTTCTTTTGTTTTCTGCACTATCTTTTTTTACTCTGGGTTGAATTTCCTTTTTGTTTGTTTATTTGCTTCCTTTGTCTCTGTTTGCATGCTGGAGATAGTCATCAAATGTCTGGGGACTCTGGATTGTCCAATCATATTTAAGAATGAGCCTCATAGAAGATACTAGCTACTCTGAATGAGTAGAGTTTATCTACTGGTGAATTTCAGCATAGGGTGTTAGGCAGGGATATGGCTGTTTGGAGACCTCCTGCACATGTTCAAATATATAGGTCTTCTTGCCACTGGTCCGTCTCTTTAGAGCAGTAACCTCCTATTTTAAGAGAGGTTGAAGGGATGAGATACATAAAATTTACTGCTCCATATAATGACTTTCTTACCTCTCATTTTGTTTCTTCCATGACCACCACCTCTGGGGGTACCAAGTATTTCTAATTTCTGGACTTTCCAAAAGTTCTGTAGTACATACTATCTTCATTCTTGTTGGCTTCTGTCTTTATTCCTCCACTCTTACCATCAGTTGAAGGCCTAGAGCTTTCTCCATTCTGATAAATCAGTTATCACTCATTCAATTGAGTACCTGCATGTGTACATTTTTACATTATCTGTCTGCCTTTGTTGCCCTTCCTTTTTGCTTGTTCTTGTGAGTTGATGATTCTTTTACTCCTTTATGTCTTCTTAGTGAAGTTGCAAGAGTGAGTGGAGACAAAGAAATGCATTTATTCAAATGAACTCTACTCCTATCCTTTCTCATGCTCTAGTCCTATTTGCTTTGGTGTTTTAACTAGTTGTGAAAATGGCGTATTTTCATGCTTTCGTCTCTCCATTACAAGCCGTTCTGACAAGAACTTGAGAAGAGACAGATGAAAAGATGACCGTTAATTTGAGATAAAAATTTCAAAACAGTCATCTTTTCTTCCATTAAACCCTTTAATAGACCAGCACTAGTCTGTTAATAGCGACTGTTAATATTTGTCTCCACACACATGTCCAAGCTAGTTTGCACATTGCGGGTGTTCTGTTCACTCTGGTCATCCTCTGCATTATGGTCTCCCTCCTTCTGAGTGAGAGGTGCTTCTTTTTGCTTACTTCTCCATGATGTCAGTTATGTGGTAGCTCCTTCTCTTAGACTGGCTTTCACACTCTGATGTTACAAAAGCACCTCTCATCAAGTAAACTTATGGCATAAAGCAATCTTGCACATCGTGTTTGTTGATTCAATAAGCAAACATTTATAGTTTTACAAATTGTTCCATCCCTGAACAAACAACTCAAAAGTATAAAATCATATATATCTAAGTCACCTACTAAAAGTCATATCAACAAGATGGTTAAATATCAGGTAAAATATTTTACTTAGAACATTGAACCTTGGGGGTTTATACTTAACTAGTGTTGCCTTAGCAACAGCTTGAATTAATTTGAAGCCCTCAAATTAATCAAGCCAGCAATCACACAAAAATTATTTGTTCAGTATGTATTTACTGAAGCCTGAGTTGAGTCTTGGAGGAATGTGATGTAAATGTAAAATATTATTCTTGCTCATCTCCTAGACATAGAGACATGTCATATGGAATCCTCATCTGGATCAAAAGCACAGACTTGTCATTCAATATGATACCAGATGCTCTTATTGTCCAGTTGCTGAAATACTGTTACATATGAAAAATGCTAGCAAAACAACACAGTTGCATACAAGTGCTGAATCTTCTGTGGAAACAGCAAATCCTATAGAGAGCCAGAGGAGGAGGTCAAAGGGAATAGGAGCAGAAGCTACAGGCATTTGCTGAGTTCCTGCACCATAAAACCTGCATTTCAGGTAATCGAGAGAGAAATTCTTACCCACTTGGGTTGGTTGTTAATGATGTTTTGGATTTGTATGGAACAAGGAAAAAATAAATCCTATGCAAGAATAATGTGGATCACAAAACACAGCTACAAAAATGATGCTGTGACTGGACTGTGGGGGTCAACCTGACTAGATCCAGTCCTCTTGCTAAGGAACACAGGGAATGTGAGGTTGGACTGTAGGTTGAGACAAGAGTCAACAGGGCAAGATAATCTCAGTTTTCAGAAAAAGGAAGAACAGCACTTTGCACCTCAGAAGTCTCTTTATTTCAGGGACAAACAACAGCTCCTTCATAACTGCAGTGGATCTTATTGTTTGTTGCTTATTTACTTGCTATATACTATATTCCTTGGGCTTGGGGGTGAAAAGAGAAATTGGGGTAATTTGTCTTTTATTTGAATTTTAGGAATAAAGGGGTCAGGTGCTTTTTCCCTAGCCTTGGCAACTGTGGGCAAGCTTGGCATCCTCTACCTGCCTAGTTTTCCAGAACAGAGGAGGTTACTTTGTGGGACTTCAAGTGATGTTCTTTGCAGAGACTGCATTCAGTTCCACTGTGGTTAAGCTTGTTTATCTCCCGTTTCTACTTTATTATCTAAGTGGAAGGGATGCCTGCAGGTCACTGGCCGTTATTGTCAGATCGCATGGTGGTGGTGGAAGAATGAGATTATGGTGGTTGTAACATCGTTTTGGTAAATAACTTTTTATCAACTTTTCAAGTTCTACCTCGGGGAAGACGCGGAGATACCAGATTGCAAAGGTGCTGGAGAGCGAGACCACCGGGGAGCTGCAGCCGGGTGGGCCGAGCAAAAGGAGCCAGGGCTTGAGATTTTGGTTTGGTGATGACTAAGCCGACCGGTTGCTGGGCTGCTGGGTTCCTTTGTCCCCGCACACTTTACGTTTGAGGCGATGCTTCAGCAAATGGAAGCGGCGACCACTAGGAGGTACCCAAGCTATGCGTCGGCTGCTCGGGCGAGCAGAAATGACTAAGTGGCTTCCTCGGCGCTGCTGGTCCTGGAGGGTGGTGCTTTTCCAAGGTCAGGGTTGCTATAAGCGATAAGCTTATCCGTGGAGTGAGAAAGACAGCTCACCAACGGCCCGTTGAATCTACAAGGCGGAGGAGGCGAACGCGCCTCCAAGGCATTATCACATCCTTGCTGGGTCTGCTCGCTGGGGCACCAGCTGCCTGTACATCTGGATGCAGCAGCGCCTTTCCCTCCAGGGCGGGGGCGAGGCGGAGGACCCCGGTGTGCTCGCACCTCCCCGTGCGCGCGCGTGCGGGCCCGTGAGCGCTGGTGTGAGTGTGCACGCGCGCACACGGTGCCAGCTGGCTCCAGCCCGGCTAGGGAGGGGTCGGGGGTGGGCGGGGGGCCCGGGAAGGAATGGCTGCTCCCTGCGGGTTAATAACCACCCAGTTAGAGGGAGACGAGGGTGACGGCAGGGTGACAGCCCGCGCGCGCCGGCTGCGTGTTGAGGGGTCGGGATAGCGGGGCTACCAGCCAGGCTCTGCCGTACTCGGGAATTCACATCTATTTGGGTGTGGAGGTGTCTCTGTGTCTGTGTCTGTGTGTGTGTGTGTGGGGGGGGTTGCCTCTATCTCCAGCGACGAGGGCGGCATCGGGGGGCGCGCGCTCCAGCCGGCTCGCGGTTCTGAGCGGGTCGAAGGAGGCAATTTTGCGGGTGGAGGAGGGAGGGCAGACCTTGATTTCCACCAATCCCCGGGCGTGTGTCTGCGGAGTCCGGGACGCAGCGGAAGGCTGCGGCGCGCCGCTGAATGAACTGATGAGAGCGAGTTCTTTTCTTCTCCGGGCGGGGTGCGGAGCGGGGGTCCTGGCGGCCGCGGCGGAGACACCCGGGGCCGGATAGCGGTTCGGCAGGGTGGAAATTTCCAAGGACTTGGCGCGGGGCGCAGAGCGCGTCTGGGGCGTCGGGGGAGGGGGCTGGAGGCGCAGCGGCGCGGGAGGCGGGGGGAGGCGGCGAAGGGCGCAGGAGCCGCTCGGAAGGGGACGCCGCGGGCCACATGTCTGCGCGGGAGACCGGCCTCTTCCCGGATCCGCGCCGAGGGCGACCGTGATGCTGCAGAAGCGGCGGGAGCCCCCGGCCGCCGCCGCCGCTCTGCGCGCTCCAGACCCCGGCGCCCGCCTTCTGCAGGGGAAGCCTCTAATGGCTCTGGCTCGTGACTTGCCCCTCGGCCACTTCCCCTGAAAGAAATCCTTGGAAAAAGTTGCATTAAAAAAAAACCCCTCACGCCGACCTTTGGGGCCGCGGGGGCCGGAGAGACGTGCGTGGGGTTGCGAGGAAGAGAGCCGAAGGTGTGTGTGCATGGGGGGCCCGCGTGGGGGGGACTCTCCGCTGCCACTTCGCGGGGCGTCGTGCTGAGGCGCTGGCTCTGCCCCTCCAGCCCCCTTCCCGGGACTCCTGCGATGAGCCCCTGCGGGCTGGCCCGCCGACACACGTCCAGAGGGGCCATGGCAGTACTGGCCTGGAAGTTCCCGCGAACCAGGCTGCCGGTGGGGGCCAGTGCCCTCTGCGTCGTGGTCCTGTGCTGGCTCTACATCTTTCCCGTCTACCGGCTGCCCAACGAGAAGGACATCGTGCAGGGGGTTCTGCAACAGGGCACGGCGTGGAGGAGGAACCAGACAGCGGCCAGAGTCTTCAGGTACTCCTTGCCCTCCCAGGTGGTCCCCGGGGTCCTTCCAACCCCATCCTGCCTTCTGGGTGCAAGGACAGCGTCACATGCAAGGACTGCGTCCCTCTCAGCCAGTCCTTAATCCCTTTCTTTGCCATTCCCCACCTGGAGACTTGAGTCAAGGGCCTTTGCCCACCCTCCCTTCACCCTTGGAGAGGTGCAGCCCTTGCTTTGCCCTGTTAGAGTCTGTAGATATTTCTTCCCAAACCCCAGTTGTATTCAACAATATTTGGGAAGGAGATCCCAGGCTAACTTTGTCCCTTGCACTTAAAGAGAATTTATTTATCTCATGGGGGTCTGCGGACTTCTGAAGCTATAAAAAACTAAGGGCAGGGAGGAGAAGCATGTGGGAGGCATCTTCCCGGGGATAGGTGGATGGTTGGAAACAAAGCACAAATGAGGGAGCGATGGGCAAAGTCTTGGGCAGTAAAATTATTGACATCAGTGGGGATCCTGCTGTGGGGTGCATTGTGCCAGCAACAAACACAGTGCACTTACTGATGCCCCACTAACAGTCGCCTACTGAGTGGTTTTTATGTTGACGTCTCCACACTTTGTGATGACAGATGTTATTATCACCCCCATCTTTCCGACATCACCCCGAGTCTCCAGGAAGACGAGCTACCTCCCCAAGGTCATGCATCTTTCTAGCATGGAAGCTGGAATTTCATGAGTTGCTGCTGGAAAGCACCCAGGCGCTCTTTCTGGGCTTAGCCAGTGGAGGCCTGGTGGAAGGTGGGGGACACAGTGTAGGTAAGGACTTGAAAACAAACCCCAAAGTAAAACCAGATTGTAAATTAGAACTCCCATTGATCACCTAGAGGTTGTAATTTCCCTTTCTTTCTGGGAATTACAGTTTAAGTGTCTAAAAATAAGCTGTGGGCAGCAGGGGTGGTGTAGTGAGATTGGAAGGAAGGCAAATCGGCTTCCTCTTCCTCTCTGCTTCCCCCGGCAGGGCATCCCCACTGCCAGGTGCCCCTGTCCCAGGTGCGCCTGTCCCTAGGATGAACAGGCGCCTCAGGCTCTTCCTGTGGCTGGAGGGCTTTCTTTTGCTTGGTATCACTTTTTTAAGCAATGTGTGGGGCAGGTGAGTGCCAAAGACAACATTTTCACCACTGCCGGTGATACATGTTCAGAAACTCCTGTAATCTGAAATAAAACTTTTTAAACATATGGTTTCATTCCGCTCCTTGGCTGCTCAAGGAAAGAAGGTCAAGGGACAGTAGCCAGTTCTCTCAGAGGAAGGCAGCTGGATTCTTTAAACCGGCAGAGAAGACCTTCCCCCTGTATAGAATTTTGAGTTTTAACCTCCCCCCCCCCTTTAAAAAGTATTAAGGCTAATTTTCTCTCGCCATCTCAATAGTGATCAATAGTGATCATTGGACTCAAAAAGCTGTGGTAGCATCTAGCAGTTCTTTCTCTAAAGACAGAAAGCAATGTCATTTCAAGTAATATAAGGAAACAAGTCAAGAACTTCCCGTTGGTTTGCAATCAAAGAGTCCTTTTTTTTTTTTTTTTTTTTTTTTTTTGTATAGGAGGTGGGATAATGAAGCTCTGTTAGAGGATAGATTTCTCTGGGAGGACATAATCAAGTGGAAAGTGACTCATTCTGAAAAACACAGGCTGATGATCAATTCTGAGACACATTTGCTCCTTGCAAATGTGCCTGTAGCCTGGAGTGACCTTCAAGGGTATGTCTGTCATTAGGTCTATGTGCAGAGAAATCCATACATTATGAAAGTGACCAAAACACATATCCCTCAAAGCTAGTATCTGTGAAACTGTAAGAGGCACCACTGTTTGTTGCAAGGAGTTTAGGCTTCCACGTAGAATCCTGAGTTTTTGCCTGACAATTCCATGGCTCGAGAAATAACAGATGTCTTTGGCAAATTATTCTACCTCTTTGGGTCTTTGTTTCTTTATTTGTAAATGGGGTTAATAACATCTACCTTGCAGGGTTAATATAAGGTTTAAATTAAAGCAACAACAAAAACATGATGCCCAGTGCCTGGCACATTTTTCCAGTCAGTGGTATTATTGTCATAGTTATAAGTGAAAATTTCTTGTACATGTTACAATGTAAATAAGGACAACTGGCCAGTGCATAAGAATTAGGAATGTTTCATCTGTAAAACTTGCAGAGAAAGGTAATTTTTCCAGATCTTGCCCTTCTCCCACTCCCCACACATACTCTTAACCTAGTTAACAGAGGTGGAAAGTTTTAAAAGATAGTCAACATTCTGTGGTTTGTTAAGTCAAAATATTGTTTTTACTCTGCATGCTTAGTAAAGCCCATTGTTTTTTAATGCCTAATTTTTTAGTTGATGGGTACTATTGTATGTTAAGTACTACAGAGATCAGCCATTGTGTTATGGCATTAAGGAAACACAACTTGGCAAAAAGGTCTCTGTGTTTTCTAGTCTGAAATATCTCTGTATAAATACAAATATTTAAGCACAAATATACAGTGTTTACTGTGTGGGATATATGCACACTTATTCATAAAGCATGGAATGGTGTCATGTATATTGTAAATGCCCATGCATGCTTCCATGCATCATGTAAATCATTGCAATCAGTGCATTGGCTGGTACTCAGTGAGTGACTACTCTGTGCCAGATAAGCGTTGTCCCTGGGGGATAGCAGTGATCACCAGGGACTGATTGCATCCTCTGAGACAGCTTATCTCCTACTAGGGAGTTACTGATGAAGTCAAAGAAACAGGAGCTTTAAAGTACAAAGGAAAATGTTTCACTGTTTATAAGCACTGGAAATTAAGATGACATTTTGCCCATTTACTTCCATTACTTTTGTGATTTTTGTCCTAGATCAGAACTTAAATGCTGACTTCTTGGGAAGGACCCTTGACAAATTCCATGGGAGAGGGTAGGGAGAAAATAACAAAGCTGCAAGAATGTTGTAGTGAACAGGAAGCTTTCCTGACATCCACATGGCCATAGAAAGATAGAGAAATCAACGGATCCCATAGTAGAACCAAGTTTCTGCAACACTTGTTGCTTCTGATGGAGAAGAGAAGGCATGCCAAAAAATGCCAAACCTAAGTGGCATTTGACTCCATTTCATTTGCTTCTCAGAAATACATGAGCTCAGAATTTCTGGGCAAGGCTTTATTTATGGCACCCAACATGGTCTCCAGTACCAAACAACAACAAAACCAACACATTTTTAAGTGCTTATTTTATGTCTGGCGCTATGCTAAGTGCTTTAAAATGTATTGTCTCATTTAATTCCCTTAAGAACCTTACATAGAAATTAAAAAAAAAAAAAGAACCTTGCATAGAAATACCTTATTACCCACATTTATGAGGGTGAATGTTACCCTGATCCCTGCCATCATTGGATTTACTTTAATCTTAAGGGACAGGCATACATGTATATAATTAAATAACCAACTAGATATAGGGTCTTCAAAGCAAGGCAGCAGGGTAGAGTGGAAAGAGAGCATATGGATCCAGGAGTTGTTAGAACTGGGCTGGAATTTCTAGTTGTCTGATCTTTAGGTGTCAATTTCCCTTTTATAAAATGGAGTTTGTGGTAATTTTTTACATGTCTGTAATGAAAGTTACCTGATAGTATACAGAAAGCACTTGCAGTGATGCTGCTTATCTCTAATACATGATGGTTATAGCAATAGTAACAGTAAACTGCTGAGCAGGTTCCTGAGACAGGGTAGTTCATTCTGCCCGAAGCAGGAAAATCAGAGAGGTGGTGGTGATTGTATCAAGCCTTGAAGGATGGAAAAGTGGGGTAATTGTAAGAGGTGAGGTCAGAGGATGTTCTGGGCAGAGGGAGCAGCAGAGGCCAAAGCAGGGAGGCATAGGCATGTGTAGTGTGTGTCCTGTATGTACAGAGATCCTGGTAGAAAAAAAATACTGGCACACTGGTGGAAGCCAGGTCATCACTTTTGAATAGGTGTCCAGTGTGGCCCAGGAGATGTGACTGGACACAAGGTATCCATGGGGATGTGTCAGCTCTCAGTGGACATGGCTCATCTCTGTTCCTGGTAGGTTTGGGGAGTGGGGTTAGCACAGCAAGTGCTTTGAAAATCCTGTCTCTTCATTAGTTGTAACCATTATTCTAGGCAGTCATGTTCCCTTTTTGTTTCTGCAATTCTAAGCAAAACATTAAGTAGTTCTAGCTATGTGACTTCCTTTGAATCTGTTGATAACAGAAGCTTCAGCTATTTTTGCACTGCCCCAGAGGCTGCAGAGGTCACTGGGGTGGAGGACTGAGCAGTAGATGCTAGGTATGGTATGTGATTTTATATTTAAGTGAGAATTTGTGGATTTCACTTTTAAAAAGTTTAAGAAAAAAATGGCTTAGTGACTTCTGGTGCTTAAGAAAATAAACTTCCATTTTTGAGGGTTTTACAAATGTGAAAAATTTCATTAGCTTTATTGCTAATAGCAACAAGACAATAATAAAAATAAATTATTAACATTTATTGGACACATAAAATAGACTAGAACCAGTTCTTAGTGCTTATATGTATCTATTATTTTGCTCCCATAGCTACTCTATAAAGAAAATACAGGTATGTTCCTTGTTTCACACATGAGGAAGTGGACACTTAAAGAGATACAATAAGAAAAGATGGGTTTGGGTTTCCAGTTCAGAGCTATTTGTTCCTAAGACTTATGCTAGTCCCCTGATAACTTGGGTAAATGAGGCCTTGCTGTATATATCTCTTATGATCTGACCACGATTACTTCTGTCATGCTACCTTTTTTGTCATGCTACCTTTTTGTCATGCTACCTTTTTAACCAGTGTTCTTTTTTGCGTTAGTAATGTTGATTAGGGTCATAGTTTATGAAATGAACCTGGCTGTTTTGGTTTTGTATCATTTGCTCTCTGGACCACCTTCCTTCCTCCCTCCTCCCTCAATCCCTCCCTGCCTCCCATCCTTTCTTCTTTCCTTTTAAACAAAATACAAGAAGACAAATCCGCA